TTGGTGCCCAAGTCCACAAAGTGCATGATATGACCTATCCTGATACCAAGTCTCGACTGCACACCTTCAATGAAACTTCCTGCAAGCTTTCTTGGCCTGTCAATACGGTTGATGTAATCGATCTTGTAGTGAGTCCTAGACTGTGGCGAGCACTGATCAGCATCTTTAGGATCTGTCTCGTTGTGGGTTCATTGTCACTCGCGCAGGCGATTGCTGAATGCCCCAACAATTGACTCAAATGCATCAACTCTTGCGCAATGAGACGAAATTGGCTCTTGCTTCCTAATGGCACAACATGAATGTACCCAGTCTGCTCTTGCTGGCTTTGTCTCTCTAAATACCTTGCTGCTGTGTAGCAAAAGTCAAAGCTTAGCTCGGGGATACTTCCTCTCTTTACTCCATCTGTTCTCTCACGGCGATCTGGACGCGCTCGATGCTCAATGCATTCCTTACACCAATCGGCATATGGCATGTGCGTCAACCTGCGTCGTGCCTGAGTGGCTTTACCTGGCATCTTTGCCACACTTTGGTAATGCCTCTCTTGTCTCTTGAGCTTTTGCTTTAGTCACCAAGCTTTTTGCATTCAAAAGTTCCATTTTCTTGTTGTGACTGAGGATCTTTGTGTAGACCTTTAGATTAGAGCCACTGCCTGAAATGCCGAGAATGAATACGCTGCCCTCAAAGTTGCCAAAGAAGAATCCTTAGTCAACTCTATTCCATTCGCCAAGACTTTGTCTACACCCATTAAGCTCAATTGTAGTTCACATTCAAATTCCTCATCGTTCTTTTCACCTTCTTTCTGACCTTCTATCTCCTTCTCCGGTGGAGTAGGGGTAATCTCTTTGATTGCCTGCTCCACTTCTTTGTTTCTCCCTTCTCTGTTTTCAAGCTTCTGTATCCTGGCGCAAAGAATCCCATATCTTCTGGTGGCGCTGGCTCATAGCTGAAGATTGCGATTGAAGGAATGACTGCATCATCATTAAAGAACTGCTCATCAGGCATACTTTCACAATGTTGAGGCATTAGCCATCGACCTCCTGTTTGCACCAAAGTGGTTCTCGTTAGCTCTGGTGATTCTTCCTCTTCTGGAATGACTGTGGGATCCACATATCTTGAAGTCAATAAGCTTCCAACTGGGCAGTTCGTGTTCATTGAATCTCCAACCTGCTGCCTTTTCCAAAGCTTCATGTACTTGCACCTCCAAGCAGCTTTCATCTTCATCTCTAATGACTCTAATGCGGCCGCGAACGGTCAAAGAGCGATTTTGCAAGTTGAGTGGTACCTTCAAGTCACCATTCTCCAAAGGTTTGCTCTCGACCATTGATTCCCAAACCATGCTCCATCAGTCTTTCATAGCAACGTATGGGCTGATGCAATTTTGAACTGAAGATCACATTCTCTTTGAGAAGTACTTCACTTCCATCAAGGTCACGCAAAGAAACCACAACACTTTTTGGAACTGGAGCCGCGGCGGCGTGAGACCTGAGGGCAAGCAAAGCGCCGGCCTGGTGTTGCGTCTGTCCCGCGCGGTCCCGTGCGCACCCGCCCGGTCACTATAGGTCACTGGCGCCGAAGGGCACAGCACGTGCGGCCACCATCTCCTCGCCGCCGGGGTCTTGGCAGAGAAGGTCCTCGGAATTTGGAGCCCTGGAGCGCGGACTTGGTGGGACCCAGCGGCGAGCGGCGACGGCAGCCTCACGAGTTGGCGCAAGAAATCAAGCAGCACGATGTGGCAGCTCTCAGAAACGCGTGGCCGAGTGCGAAGTGTGAAAACTTGAAAAAGCTGTAGTCTAGTAGCGATGCGAGGAGCCCATCGACATATATAAAGAAGTCGGCGGGCGCTGGCTGGCTGAAAGTTATCAAGCAGACCAAAATACCAAAGCATACTAAAGCCCAGCCAGGAGATTGTGGGGGAAAGTCCATCCACTCCTCTGCATTCGACAGTATACGCAGACATGCCCTGTTCTTGTCGACCGGACAAAAGCCATTTTCATGGTTCATCATACTTCCACTTATTTCACACCACTGGCTAATCTTGATAGTTCCCACGTCAGAGCCACCTTTGTCAGATGGAGATCTGAGGCGAAAAAGGCCGAGGAACTGCTGTCTCCAGTCCTTCGCCTCTTGTCACCCAACCACACCCACGTGCGCCTGGTCGTGCCTGGCGCGCTTCGAAGTGTGCCTTGGTGGCACCATTGATCGCGCAACAGCGCGTGTGGCCCAGCACCTTCGGAGCGTGTGCGGTCCACAAAGCTTGTGGGGGAACGGAGGTGAAATGTGTTGGTGTCGCCTGGACGCCCGTCTCCAGCAATGGCATTCTTTGATGAGATTGACCGCTCGCAAGTGGCTATGTAAAATTTAATGTCACAGCTCAGAACCTGGCCCTGCCTTGCCCACGACTGACTCGGACACCGACAGCGCGGCGTCAGAGGCTGCAAGCAACCGGCGTGAGGGCACTGCCTCGGACACGCCAACGACCGCACACAGTGAACAGACTACAGCTCCACCAAACCTTGCGCCAGTCCAGCCAATGCTTTGGAAACTCTGCGGTGACATTGGCGACGGCTTCTTCAACCGCATGATCTACTCGCAGCAAGGTTGTGGAGCACGAGCTCGTGGGCCTGAGGCGACCTATGTGTCGACGTTCACGCACGCCGTTCAGTCCAACGGATTGGGCGTGGACCAGGTGCAACTGGGTCCGCAGCAAGCAAGCTTCTCTGGCAAGTGCAACCTTTTCTACTTTCTCCTCTGCCGCTGCACGTAAGCAACGTGTTTCATCGTCGCCACATGGTACGCCCAGTGTTTCCTCAAAATGGCCCCACCACACGGACACTCAATCTTCTCTGAGCCATTGACCCAAAGCTTCACTGGGTTTTTGGTACTGCGTTTCTTTTGACATGTATTTTTGACCTGTCGCGGTTCGACAGCTCGTCCAAGCTTTACAGGTTGAAACTTCCCAGCACGCTTCAGGAGTGACCAGAGTTCTCGAGTCCATGGATGTCGCTCTTGCATGCATAGCAGCGTCGAATCCAATCAGACATCGATCACACTCACTTCTCCCCTTCGGTGTTTTTCTCCCCTTCGGTTGCGCATAAGGTGACTTACAAGAACTAAAGTTGATTCACAGCAGCACGAGTTCTCAATAAAAACTCACGCTTTTACACGGATGCGCTGCACATCATATGTGTATCACACATGTATGCATGACGGCCAGACAAAACAAATGCACGGAACATATCAATCAACAATGAAGAAGCCACCACTGCTTCACACCTACCGGCTCAGCAATCTTGGTTTTGTTTCTAGCACGGAGTTGTTTCAATAGCGGCGTCAGAAACCACTTGTTCATGAAGGAAACAGCAACAAGACAACAGCTTGATTCCGCCTCCCTCGTCTCACATTGGGCTCCACTCACATTGGGCTCAGGCTGAGCGCGAGAGCTGAGCCCCAAAGCTTCCGTCACCCTTGGCCGTTGATGGATATGCATGCACCAGAGATGAATCGAAACCCGGAGAAACTTCTTTTTTCCTTCTGATATCCTTTTCCTTGCTTTCCTTTGCCTTTGGCATCTTTACCTTTGCCCTTTTGATGGTCATTCTTGCCCTTCTTACCTTTTCCTTTGGCATCTTGGACTCGATCAATTGCAACACTTGTTCTCTCAAAGTTGAGTATTGAACATTGTCGCCAATGGTCAAACTCAAGTATGATTTGAGTTGTCCATCTACACATCTCAAAAGAATAGAAGATTTCAACTCATTTTGAAATGTCGTCCCTGCCTTGACCGTCTCATCAAACACTTCTTCAAGCTTCAGAAGTTGAGGTTGTAATGCACTGTTCATTGAAAACGCTGGCCATGTAGTGGCTAGCCTTCAAAGTTGGCTTCAAAGCTTTGAAATATCCATTGGAGTCCTCCACAGCTTTCACCAACTGCAGTGCTCTTCCCCTCATCAATGAAGCTAACAACCCATAGAGCTTGATGCACCTGGTCTTCTCCTCTGTAGTTGCCAAGTCCATGTCAAACTTCTCATTTGGCTTGTCATGAATCCCCTTCAAGTCCTTCATGTAGCCCTCATCAACTGCACTCAAATATTTCTCAAACACCCATGACCACTCTCTGAATGCCTTGATCTCTTCTTGTTGTGACTTGTAGTCAAAGATGTTGGGCTTTGCTATCAATTTTGACCATCTGTCGTTGAACTTCTTGTCTTCAACTGCCTTCTTCACTGCCTCAGCTGCTGACGTTGTTGCTAGCGTACTCTGTGGCATAGTTTGAAGTGAAGGACTTCCCTGATCTCCTCCATCTCTAATGTGTACTAATGTCCTTCTGACACAACGTACCAGGTACGGAGTGTCGCTCACAACAATCTCTCACCAGTCCAGCTATTATTTGGGTTCCAAAGGCCCCAAATCCATGGCTCGGGGATCCCAGTGACCTAGGGGCTTTTCCTCCTGGAGCTCCAAGGGGGTTACCCTTATCCTTGCTCCGCTACTATGCGAACCTTTTTCTCAAGCCAAAAAGGCTGCAGTAAGGTCAGACACTGCTGTACATGCTATGAATACTGGCTGTGGTTTACCTTGAACATGCTTCACATATGTATATGTATATATATATATAATTGTACACCTTATATGAATATATGATTTGATATATATATATATAACATATATGAGAGAGAGAGAGAGTGCAAATGCATCAAGATTACAGTAACTTGACACAAGGACAAGGGTGCACAGAACCCTGGCCCTAGCAGCATAATTGATCTTGCCACCGCAGGATTTGGAGAAGACATCTATCCGTGGCCTTCTGGGAGAAGACAACCCCGGACATCCCAGGACTGGCACATTGTGAGTTGAGGCCTCCATTTTCGCCGCACAAAGGGCTCCAAAATCCAAGCGCTCTGGGCGTTCGACCAGATGCGTTGACAAGTCTGGCAAACATTCTGGTTGGATTCAGGCTTTGGGATTCAGATGGCCAGGTTGTATACGGTGTAGAAGTGTTTGCTTCAACCAATCCAATCAGATAGAAGCCCAACAATTGGTGAATGTACAACTCTTACAAGTCTTCCGAAGCCAGTTGTAGAGTCACCCGATTGTCAAACAAAATTCTGGTCCATTCAGTCCAGATGTGCTTTACTGCTTTACAAACACTGCGACTGCCTCGCATTTCAACAACAGCAACAAGGCAACAATATTGCAAACCCAAAAAAGAAAACTCATCTGTGGGATCCGGCGTCTGCAGTTTAGACTATAGTATATGCTGCAAAGTGAATGGAAAATGAAAAAAGCGATCCTCAAACTGGTCAGCCCGCACACGCTTGATCTGTCTGAGTCTCTGGTCATTGTGAATTAGGGGTTCCAAAATGACAACAATAGATTATAATAGCATGCGTGGGTTTTGCTGACTCTCCCCCAAATTGAGCCTCCAAGGTTGCACATGTGCGGGTACCAACCAGGACTGGAGTGCATGATAGACCTAATTAGCTAGCGAGCACTGGAAGTACTGGGCAGGCGCTTGAAGGTTGCATCACAATACTCAGCAGCCTGTAATGTTGAGGCGACAAAAATGGACATTGAACCAATCACATCTGTGACGTCAGCCCCACAAAGAGCCTCTCGCTTGCCACGCTTGGGGCAATCCACAAAAGCCAGCGACAGGACCTGCGCACCATAGGAAAAAGCGCCAATTACCTGACACAGGGATTGGAGGACTGCATTTCATAGAACGGTGGTGGATGCAAAAGAAGTATACAACAATCAAGCATATAAGTCTCTTCACAGGCAAGTCGCATACAAGATATCAACCGCGCATGCCTTTGGAGCAGGACAGTTTCGTGCCGCTTCCTCAATGGACAAAAGAGCACGTGTGATCCAAGTGACGGCCGCCACACTGTCAAACACGCAGTTCGCCAGTGCAAAGTCGCGCTCAGTCTTATACTTGTGCTTCGCATCAATGGTTTTCACTTTCTGGTAAGCGCTCACCAAATCACGGGGCAGTCCTTTGGTCTGTGCATCGAAGAGGACATTCGGGAGTATGGCACGACCACCGGCAGAACCCGGACCGGCGAGGTTTCGCAGTCGTTCTGCTATCTCAGAAGACTTTCTTCTGTAAGCCGAGATGTTTCTGGACATCGGAAGGTCCCGGGCCGCAGGCCCAGGCTCGCTGAACTGTTCCGGGCTGCTGTCCGTGCCTCGCAAACGTCGCTTCTCTGGCTTGGCCAGATGCTTCCACCACCTCTGGAACACTCTCCAGCTGGTGTCTCTCGGATGTGTGAGGAAACAATCTTCATCGAAGCCATAGATCGTGGAGCCCGCTGTCGCCAAATCTCTCATAATAGCCGCCACACAGGAGCCTGCCTGATCAAGTGTGGCTGCGCAGGTGGAGGCTGCGCTGGTGAGAAAGGCCATGACCCAAATGAAGGATGTGATTGTATGAGCCACTGGTGCCGTGCAGCCCAGTGGTTCGTCATCGGGGCAAATCTCGGCACGGTAAATGTTCACCACCGCTTTGCCCAAATAAGTGGCCGCTTGGACGGTGTCGATCACACAGCTGGTGGTCACGATCTTGGCCTCGGTGGGGTAGTTTGCATAAGGCTCATCCGGATGATCGAATAAGTTCACATCCCACAAGGCGCGGTGCTGGATCTCGGGCAGCAAGGGGAGCAAGAGATCATGATCCGGTAGAGCATTCGCGGAGGTCTGTGACCCGGTCTCAAGCCACAAAACTACGCTCAGCAACCTGACTCAAAAGGCTGAGTCATCTGGGAAGGCCGATTTTTTGGGGGGGCTGCTCCCTCATTTTGGTGGGAGAAGAAGACAAACCAAAAAAACAGGCATCTCAAGCTGCAAAGAATCTCGTGAGAAACATACGGCCTTTCAATGATTGTCCAAAAGAGAAACGAGATGGAAATCATCTATCTCAAAACCTAGATGCAACAAATTGCTGGCAATGAGGCCCCAAACCAAGCTCGTTGCTTTGAAGCACTTCCTCTGTGTCTGGTCTTCAGACTCCGACACCATGAGACGTTGATCCTCCGCCATGGCCGAAGTCAGGAAGTGCCCGACGAATGTGCTGCTCGGGGTGCAAAATGCCTTCCAAATAGAGGTGTTGGAAGTTGTGTGTCCACCATGGACCATGGAAGGTTTCATGACGTCCGCCTCAAGACCACAACAGTAGCTTCTGATCAATCACCAATCTTCAAGCATGTGAAAAAGAAGCTTTGACTTGAGACCCGCCAAAACCTCTGAGTTCACCTTGAGGAACTACCCAACCATTTGTGCTCGTTCCATGCACAGTTCATCCTGACCCTCGCGCCCCAACGCGCACCCTCTTGCCATTCATACTCGCCATGAGCTCTAAAGCCTCCAGGCAAACCCGATGCGGCGGAGCACTCCAGTGGAGCTGGTCCGGACACCGGCCAGTCACTGAAGGGTTTGAAGGGTCTGGAACTGAAGGGTTCGCAAATCCCTCTTTGCCAATTTATGGAGTCAAAGAACCCGCAAGAATCAGCAAGAATGGCTATATAAGGCTTTATATATATATATACACCTTTTTGTACAAGAGAGTAGTCTTCGGGGCAATGTCCCTCTTAGGTTCTTGGCAGAGGCCCTTTTCGAAGGTCGGTCGGAAGTCCGTGCAGCCTCTCAAAGACGGAAGAAAACACCCCGGAAGTTGGGGAAACCAAAACCCGTTGGTTGGGGTGTTTCCTATCAAATATATAAACCCACTTAGGTGGAACAACTAACAGATCCAAGATCAGCCTTCTGCTTCTTGGCTGAAGTGCTGTTGCCTGACCGGTCTAGTACAGCAAGCTTTTGCCCTGGAGCACCCACTGGTAACAAGCATCAGGTCTGCTGGCCCCAAGGCGGTTGAGAGGTCTGTCTTTCCTCGACTTGCACTACACGAATCCAACCCACCAAATCCTGCAAACTGACATAGAAAGGCAAACCAGGGACTCCTGGACCACAGAGTCAGCGTTCACTGAGAAAGACCCATTTGTCTCCCCTTCCCAGCTTCGAGGATGCCTTCACTGACTCCACTTGACCACGTGCGGCCAAGAAGTAGGCGGTGTCCTCAGTCTCCACGGCACTCTTCAGTCGAAGAGTCTAGATGGACAATGATCAGAGTGCCCGGGGCAGCTGCGTTGAATTCCAGCAAGACATTCGGAATTCCAGCAAGACATTCGTTTGTTCATCGGCCTCGCCGATCTGAGTCAGAAGAAACCCTTGTAATATTCAGAGACCTTCTGCTCCGCAGTTGGTTCCAACCCAGGCTCCAATCGTGCTCCACCCCCAGTTGGCTCATGGAACACTCTCTCTCCATGACTCCATGACCGCTCTGCTCCACCCGGTGAGTCATCCGATCCGCGCCAGTCCCAGGGTCCCGACCACGCGGGCCACGGGACTTAACAGCCCGAAGGCCAATAACAAGCACCTTGGATCGGCCGAGCCGCGTCGCGTCGCGTGCTCGCTGCGTGGGCCGCGAGCGGTGTCTGAAACGCTGGAAGCCAAATGGAGTCTGGATTGAACACGTGATGAAAAGAGGCCAGGTGAGCTGGATTGAACTGGGTCAGAGTCATATTCTGGCAAAATTCCATGTTCCATCCACTCAAGAATGACGAGGTCGGATCTGGGACGGTCAAGGATTTGGTGATGTGGAGCCTCCAAGCTGCCCCCAAGATACCCAGAAAGATGTCCGGGAAAAAAGACATGACCGCCAAGCTGATGGAGTCAACGTTCGAGTATCCCAAGCTGTAAGCCGGATTTCGGTCGGGGCTCCGGAAGGGTGAGCAGTGTGAAGTAGAGATGTCAAAGGGAAAAAGGTATGCCAAACGAGAGTTCTCTAAATGCATGCGTGTACGGACAGAAAAGTATCAAAAGTGAACAAAAGTGAAGAGTTCAAGAGAAAAGTCTCACAAAGAAGAGAGTTCTCGAGAAAAGCAGCAAAAACAGAGGTGTCCAAAGGAAACGTATCTCAAACATTTCACTTGACCTTCACTTCACTTCACCACAACACAAACCACCGCGTCATCCTTCATCACCTGCCAAATCATTACAGCACTCATCACACATAACACATTCCTGATATTGTTGGACACTTCCGCCAGCCCGCATCAGCCCGCTACATATCTGAATCTTAAGTATTCTTAAGCCACGTATACGAAGAAAATAACGGCAGCTTTTGTATGCCAAGGAGATCTTCTGAACCCAAACCACTGATCCGTTCTGCCCTTCTTCCGAGGAGCGGAGGGATGCCGATCCACAAGAGCACCTGGCGCCAGTGCTTTCCCACTAAGTCCTGCCGGGGGGCAGGAATCCGTGACGTCCGGACTGATCCGGACTTGTCAAAATGTGTGGTGTCCGGATCTGGACAAAAACCTTGGGTTCTGCCGGCCTCTAGTCAAGCAAGATGGGGTATCTTTGAGTGTTGATCCAGGATGGAGTTCGACTATTGGATCACGAATAGTGGATCATGAGTGTTGGAGATCGCTATTGATCACCATATACATTGTATTTATACCCCCAAAGAGATCCCAGCAAGATTCAATGTGAGCTTGTGAACCCAAACCACTTCCATCATCTACAAGCATTCAATAGACCCTTCGAACCGTGGTCATCGTTCTTCACGCCACCGGGAGGTCTCTCCGGCAATAGAAGCTGGAAGCCCAGCGCACACCACAAATCTCCACCTCGCTCGATGCCGTGACGTTCAGTGACCGCCCAATTCGGTGTGTACTTCGTCCTTCCAAGGATCCTGGCCCTGGTGTTTGGGGGGGCCAAAACCTCCACAGCGAACCCCCCACGACCGAGCCTGCTCCGCCCGAACGAAGAACGAAGAACTCCAAAAAAAACACCTCTGGGTCCCCCTTGGGGCGAAAAGAACTTGTTCGACTCATCTCGTCTCTCTCTCGGTGGCCCGGCAGCAGAAGGCCAACGACATCGCCGCGTTGGTGACGCCACGCAGACGAGTGGGGCAGACCTCGATCCAAAGGAGTTCTCCACTGAGACCATGAGGTCTAGCTCTGCCTGGTGGCTCTGCCTTGTAAAACCGGGGAAATGAGCTGATGAGCTGTGTCTGTCACGTGAAAAAGACTAACAAATCAGCCAACAAAGAACATAATCCATGTTCTCAACTGACTTCCAACGGAGGCGCTCTACATTTGGACTTCAATGAGGTGACTTACACGTCCATTCATTCAGCCGGACACAACCAAAGAACCTGTCCCGAAATCCTCCCCAACACGGGGATTGGGCTGATTCCAGGGTTACTTCTCCCCTAGGCCCTATGGCATCGGGAAGAGATTTAAAAAACTATATATTAGCTTAAAAATAAAAAACAGTGAAAATGAATTCAGCACCAACCCAACCGGGTGCAGGAGGGGCGTCTGCCGGTGTGAAAACCTTCCAGCAATGAACCCCCACCTCGGCCAGAGCGATGAAGGCAGCAGGGATGCCCAGTCCGGCAAAGAAGCCAAAGGAGCTGAAGCCTATGCCTGACTGGAGCTGGTTTGGGGGGTTAAACATGTTTTTTCAGATGGGTTCTTGCGGATGTTTCTGGTACTTTGTTCCCTTTTTTCCTGGTGTTGTCATGTGTTCCCATTCCTGAAGTAACATGGATCTGGAATTTGGAGCTGGAAGATCAGGACTTCCTCTACTGGGGGTGCTTTGTCAGTGTTGATGTGAGTTTGTGAGGGAGGTGCCCGCCCCATCTACCCGAATTCTCACGTTTCAATTGCTTTCGAATTTTTGGGGGTTACTGGTAGCTACTTGCTCCTAGTAGTACGGCCAGGAGCCCCTAGTAGCGTTCTTGCTCTTAGTAGCGATGCCAGGAGCCCCTAGTAGCTTCTTGTTACTAGTATTTGCAAAACCCTTGCTGGCCAGCTTTCCATTCCAATGATGTATGCCTGCCTGAAGGTCGTATGAACATACACATGTCACATTGGTGTCTGTTGAAATATGTCCAAGCAATTCTGCCAGTTCAGTAGAGGACAAGAAGTTGTGAAATAATCAAACCCTGCTACTGTACCAAGAATCTGACTTGCTCTCCCGGTCATAACAAGGTTTCTTGAAACCTCACGATGGTTTTTGATGCGTTCGTGGCTCTGTATGTGGAGATCTCTCACCCGAACCCCAGCCCCAGCGGAGTGTTTGTTGGATTCCCCGTTGTGAATAGAGCGACTCTCTGCACTTGGTCACCTTTCAACAGCTGAAAGCATGCGAAGGATGCGAAGAAAGGCCAGCCAGACAACCAAGATACACAAGGAGGCATAGCTGGACAGGAAGTAAAGGCCTCACATGGAATTCGTGGCGCTTCCACTTCTCGACAACAAACCACACGGCACTCATGACCAGTCACCTGTGGCATGACTGGCGGATCGACAGTTGGTTGCGACCCCCAGCCATTGACAGGTGCAGGCTATTCTAGATAAGGCAATATTCCTCAGCATGGATATGCCGTCCGGGTACAGTAAATGTATGTAAATGTAATGAATATGGCAAAGGAGACCGTAACAAGACCTTGAAGTGTCTGAATTCTGAATAATTGTGTCTTTCCATGTCCCCTGTTGTCCGTGCCGAATCATTCCATGCATCATATTATGCATCCGTCCTGATGCCAGTTTCCTCCCAGAGAATCCGAAAGGACCCACAAGAAGAAACGTCAACCTCCCACTGAGATTGGACTATTAGATGTTAAGCCAATGCACGTTCGAGTGGCGCCCCTGTTGAAATAAAACTCGGAGGTCTGCGAGTAGGCGCCTTCGGAAGGAAACACCCAGTTCTTTCCGACCAAACGGGCTCGACGAGAAAATGGAACCTCTTCCCAACTCCGCCTAGCAGTGAGCCACACATGCCACAGTATGCCACCATGATCGGCAGCCGTCGCCCGGCATAATCGCCCAAGGAGCCTGGGGACCCAAAGGCGATTGTGGTGGAAACCTCCTTGGAGGTGAAGAATTCCATGTGAACAGAGTGCAGTGGCTGTAGTTGTACTGGTTGATTCTACCCCTTGGATAGAAGGATATCTGGGGTGTGCCTTGGGGTTTGGGACCCTTTCTGAACTGGCACTGGGCAAATCGGTCCTTTTCTCTGGCTTCCACATAAGACCACTTTCAGAATCACAAAAACATGGCCCTGGCCCCGAGAATTATGAATAAACCACCAAAGACTTTGGGATGAAACCATCCACTCCTTGGAATGCCTTCGAAGTCCCAGCCTGAGCTGATGGTGCCCAGCGCAAAACCCATGTAGGTGGAGAGCATCTGAGCCTCCTGAATTATGCAAGCACAGCGCATGTGGTTCATACTTGCATGAAGGCTCTGCGACAGAGAGGCGCGTCTGCAAAGGCCCTGAATGAGACCTCTACTTGGAACTTCGGCTTGACACCTTTTCACTGCTCAGACATTTGAGCGGAACTTGCACTCGCAAGCTCTCTACTACTCTACTTATACTTGGAATCTGACGTTGTGGCAGTGCACAACCCAAATTCGCCACTCGCCCACAGAAACACCCACACGAACGTATGTATACGTGCATATGTATACGTATGTACTGTCTAGGTAAGTGACGTATCTGCCCTGCAATGCGTGCCTGAGCAAGGTCCCCTTTCACATTGAACTCCTCAAGGGGCGGGCATGGGGCAGGAGTGGTTCCCAGAAAAATGATCCGCTCTCTGCACGTCGCACAGGGCCATTCAGGGTCATTTAAGTCAAAACAATGTCTGCTCACCAGCTTGATATGATATGCTTTTGATATGGTATGCTTTAATTATGGTCTAATTATATCTAATTCATTCTATATCGTCTATTTTTTCGCTCTCACCTATCACACCTGTCCTTCATAATGGCAGACGACAAGGCTGCTGAGGTTTGCATGCCGGCTGCTTCTGCCACCACCACGCCTGAACGACAACGCCTCGACGTTCGACCTGGAGAGTCAGACCATCGATCCAACGGACCTGGAGAGTCACACCATGCAGCATGTCCTATCCCAGCTTCCCAGCCTGCGCAAAGCACAAAGACATGGACCTGGTAGAGGCCAAAGCCAATCTCCTTGATTTTCTCCTTGGACAGATATGTTGATGGAGGAGCTTCCAGCGTGCTGCATGTGTCCAAGATGGGTCACCACAAGATTCAATGCGCCTCAATAGAATATCTACAGTTGGCATCCTTTAATATGGCATTTAGTAGTTTAGCATGAACTTCGTGCCCAGGCAACCCGACAATTCTCGAGCTGTGAGTCACAAAACAGTTCTGTGGCTCAAATCCTTGAGAGTCATTCTGTGGTTGACAAATGTCGACAGTAAGCACACCCAGATCTGCAATCAACGAATTCTATCTATATAATTTATATAATTCTAGACGATTCCAGGACGACAAGTATTGAAACGTGAATGATGGTCAGTAGACAAGGTACCAAAGGCAATCTCCCAATTTGAACTTCTGGGAAGATCGTGGAAGACAACTGATCCAAGTGCCCGAAGTGCTTCTCTCACACACTCACCACCAGTCTTGTGAATTATGGCTCTAAAGGGCCTAAGTTCTCACCGCCTCACCCTTCTACACCCCTTCGAGACCCACATGAGTCACCACTACGTGGTCCTACCTCCTATTTCGAGACCCTCATCTTCACCCTCTTCTGCCTGTTCTTCCACACACGCTTCTTCTCCGTTTCTCAGTGCCCGGGCCGAGAGTGACGGTACCCCGGACGTGGCCGGCCTCGGGAACTTACCCCTGGAGGTCCTTTGGAGCCCGGGAAACTAAGAGTGATGGCCTCCAAGCCAAGAGCGATGGCCTCCACCAAGCGGTGTTTCGTTCTTGATCTGATATAAAGACATGAGTGGACCTTTCTTCTGTGCATCTGCTTCAAGGAAAGGCTAAGACTAAGATGCCATGCTGTTCCTACTTTGTGTAGCTGGTAGCCGACAACTCCTTGCTGGTGACAATCTGACAAGGAACTATCGTGCTGAGGCAGGCTGTGGTTGTTCAAGTGACTTCTGTTAAAAAGAGCACTCTGTAGGTACCGATAGCTGACACTATGTGATTCTACACGATGATTGGCCAAGTTGGGTATATAGGTGTACAAGTGGATGGGGCCAAGAATATATTACCCCGCAAACATACTCCTCTTTGACGATACGAAAAAATCTCAGCCGGCCAATTCAAGTCTCTGGAGATCCACTCGGCCTGCCCGCCATGGCAGGAGCTTCACTTTCGAGTTCACAATTCCCTTTGGGCCACCCCACGCTTCACCGCGTTCTCGCACCATGGGGAGAAAGGGGGGAGATACTGGGTGAATCCCAGGTGAACGCCCGAAGAGGGAGGAGGCAGTGAGAATCTAAGGATATCATTGATTGGTTCCAAGAAGAACATTCACTTACTGATTCTGCTGTCCTCTGTTTTGTTTGGTCTACATGCTGGGACTGAACCTTTTCACACGATCGCTCCTCCCTTGGATAAGGTTTCGGTGCGGTCTGAAAGGTCGCACGTCATGGAGCCTCCAGGTTCCGGGCGACACTCTCAGGGTCAGGACATGTCGGAGAAGTTGTTCTTCTCTGGGTCGGATTTTGGGCTTAACTTCTGGACACTCTACACTCTCACAATCACGGAAGCGGAATGGGATAGCCATGGTCCTCGGTCTTCGTGGACGGTTTGGTCTTCGCGCCGACCTAGCCAACCCCCCTGACTGTGACTAAGTCGGGTATTGAGTAAGCTATACTGTACTCCAAATGAGAAGATACTTGAAAGGGAATCAACCTCTTCCGGATTAAGACCTAGAAGGAAGCAAATTCGCAGTATGGGAGCAATGCGCCCACATTGGAGCACCAACCAAAGCGCCCCAACGAAGACAATCTTTACAGAAGATGACAGAACTACAATCCCAATACTGTTGGCAGTTGGGGTGTGTCCAGTACTCCTCTCGGAGTACCCCGTCCCATCCGGCAACCCCATCTCGGTGCTTTCTCTGCGGCGCGTCTCGTCGACGACGTACGCTCGACCCCCGTCTCAACCGAAGCGGCACGGCGCCAGGCGCGGGGGACGCCCAGGCCTATCAGCAGCCATCTAGGTGAAGTTTGAAGTGATACAGCTTCTTGTTTCTAGTAGCTACTTGCTCCTAGTAGTACGGCCAGGAGCCCCCGTTCGTAGCGTCCGATCGCTCCGTTCGTAGCGATGCCAGGAGCCCCTAGTAGCTTCTTGTTACAGGTTAGATACTGGACCTGGTACTCTGATGGCAGTATAACCGACCGATGGAATTTCAAAATCCACAGGCGGTACGGAACTCGAAGATGATCGAAACCGGCATGAGCTGTGAGGGTCCACCATGTTCCAAGTTCAATTTCGCTCTCACCCGAAGGGCGCTGACCAACTACACGTCCTGCTGACCCGGACGACTTCCCAGCGGCAGAAGCCGAAGGCTGGGGCACGGTAGCTACCCTACCGATGCGCTGTGTGGAATGAACATGGCCTGCGAAATCCCTTCCGGTGCTGTTGGGACCTTCAGGTATCTTGAAAGTGATCCTCAATCCCCATGAAAGAGCGATCGCAGGCCCAGACCGGATCACCACTGGATTTTTGCTCGGTGGTAAATGCCATGCCTTTGGGATGCCTTGGCGCCTGCTGGAGCCTTTCCATTCATCTCAAACCAGGTGTACGTCCGTGACACATGAAAGTAGAGTTCACAAGCTGTTTCTAGGGGAAAATGGGCATTCCTTGTGGGGCGTGTTTCACTTCCATGATTATTAATATGTCAGTAGTGGATCCATCATGATCTATCTATCTGAAGCAAAAATAGAAGCTCTTCTCGCGCTCGTCGTCACTGAACACAACGGGTCTCAGCGGGGGTGAAACACGGCCGGTCGGGTCTCGACACCTCCAAAGAGGTGACATGAAGGTGGTTCCATCCAGAAGGAGCTGACGATTCGCAAAATGTATTCGCTATGTGTATCAAGGCTTTTCACTGGATGCCGGACGATCTCTATGTGGAGTAGTTCGCTAAATGATATGGTCGAAATCCTTTTGGGAAGAACCCCTTGCATTGACACATCATGATCTGTTGGTATTTTTGGCTGGAACCCGGAGACTCTAAGCTGTGTTCTCAAACCAATACGTTCTTCAATGAGGTTGTTTCCTTCCCATTTCCCTGACTGCCATCCTTCGGCCTGAGACTTTGAGCTGATCCCCGTAGCCAAACCAACACATGTCGCTTGAGCAATTTCCAAGGGGCTAATTCACAAGCACCCTGACATGAATGAATGTAAATGGTTGATGCCGTATGGCATGGTAGAAAGATGTAAAGAGTGATTTCCCTGACCCTGCTGACCTGGCCACTTAGGTTTTTTGTATTTGAATGTTCATTCTGTGTCCGTTTATTAAAGCCAAATCCTTTGAGCCGTTTATAAAACGATTCCATCTTCCTGAATTGTTTCCTACTGAAAATCCCATAAGATCCCACATAACGGTGGTTGGTCCAAGAACTGTGTATTGCATCTTGCTCCTTCACAATTTTACTTTACTACTAAGATGGAGACTTGAATTCTGCCTTCAGCTCCGCTCCCACACTTCGGGGGCTCAGACTGTGCTGCGAATTCCTGCTCCAGCAGAAGACACCCGTGTCAAATGCCGCGATGCCCACGCTGCTCCATAGGAGCAACAAAACAAGGGATCATCAAAAACTTCAACCCAATTCTTGTTCATCTATTGTTTGTAGCAGGTTGTGTGCCAGTGTCTGGGGTTGGGGTTGTCTACATCCAGTCTGAGAACCACAAGGCGTCACAACGGCGCTGCTGGCGACCTGCTGCCAAGCAATCATCGAAAGGATGCGATTGGCACATCACGAATCTCTACTGAACTACCAATTTCCTCGCAGAAAAGAGAAAGGCCTATCCTTCACAACAAACAGACGCCGGGTGCTTTCACCTCTTTCTCCAACTGAGTTCTGTGTGAAGCAGCGATAGACAGCTGAGAAACGTTGTTCCTAAGCATCACCGGAAGCTGTTTCCTCACCGACCCCCCACTCAATTTCAGACCATCGACAGATCGTTTCCGAAAAGCTTGCCGTTATATACTAGTGAATGGGTAGCCAACACAATGATAATGCAGATCCATCAAAAATTAATCTTCAAGCATCCAGAAATGGCTTGGCGAGGGCGGTGCGAGAAGCTTTGGGCTGGCAAAGATGGGTCCTGACCCTGATGTGGCGTTTCCTCTTGGCTTCTGGATGGCGATTCCGTGGTAGCGCGCATACTGCGCATGTTCATAGATGCTCTTGTGTCTTTAAATTAGAAGGAAAACATATGCAAAAACTGGTTGAACTCGGCTATTTGTCGCCTTCTTCAGATAAAGCTCGATCCACAGCAAGTCTTCATGTCAACAGCTTCCCCAAAATCCTTTAGTGCTCACAGTGCTCACTCAACAAGCGACCCGCTGGATGGAGCTATGTTGAAATAACATGACTTACAAGTGTTGCTTGCTTTCAGTCTGAGGTGTGGTCATCGATTCCCCATGGTTCAACATTGTGAAGTCGTCTATCATATCCTCATGATATGGCTGCTTTTAGACCAGGTGCACCAAACCCAGAGATACGTCAATGCCTTTGAAGATCTTTGAAGGAGTACTTCTGACGTCCGCATCCCACACCTCTTTCTGTTGGCATCGGGATTCATTGCATCCCGCGACCCACCGCAGAACCCACGAACCGCACCGAAACCGAAAGCTCTTCGGACCTCTGAAGCGAGGCCGCCCTCAATCAAAGCTGAAGGAGGAAATCGCGGTCACCTGGCACTCACCGGTCCGAAGAGGCCATTCACCGGGTTCCGCGGTGAGTTCACCGGGCGAAGGGAACCTGGACGGATGCGGTGAACTTTGGAAGCTCTTGGATGAAACTCAAAAAAGGCCCGTCGTACAGTTCGGTGGGTGAAAAAACCCTCAGCCTCTCCACATGAGGTCACTTTCTGCGAAATTCAGACTTCTCCTGGGGAGCTTTCAGCCAGTATGGTTGTATTCGGAAACTGGAGGGATGTATTTGGAAACTGGACGGTTGTATTCGGAAACTTGTATTCGGAAACTACAAAACTATAATCGGAAACTGGTACGGTTGTATTCCGAAACTGGCACGGTTGTATTGGGAAACTGGAGGGATCTCGGAAACTACGAAGACCAACACCAAACATTACATGGAAACAAAGTAAAACTACAGGGAATTGACTTCTTCGCACCGCGGAGACTGACAAGCTCAGTAGTAAGTAGTGAAGGCACTATTTATTAGTAAATCAAGCTCACTTACTGGTGTATACTGTACACTGTATACATGTTTGTCATTTCTGGTTTAGCTTTGTATTGTCGGCCTCTTCTCGGCTTCCATGGCAGTACAAGTTCAACACCCCAAGTCGTATTCAGACACTGCGCTGTATTCAGAAACTATTTTCGTTGTATTCAAAAACTATGTCGTCGTATTCAAAACTACTTTGTCGTTTTCAGAAACTAGTTTGTTGTATTCAGAAACAATTTTCGTTGTATTCAGAAACTATTTTCGTTGTATTCAGAAACTACTTTCGTTGTGATTAGAAACTATCTGCGCTGTATTCAGAAACTACTTTCGCGGTATTCACAAACTACTTTCGCGGAATTCAGAAACTATGTTCCTCGTATTCTGTACAATTTGTGGGGGTTGGGTGGGGGGGTGGCGGGGCAATAAACATAGGTCATAGGTGGGTAGTTGCGTGAAAAGTTGATGATCTCTAGGATGAAGGGGTGTATGTTCTTCCAGATCTGCATTTGTCTCTGCAGCTCACGTACTTAGCTGCTACTCCTCCCAGGTCTTCGGACCCGAGGTGCCCCGTGCGCGCGGTCCCGCGCGCTCGACCCGCGCGCTCGCTCGAGCTGCGCCTCCTCCTTCGTCTCGCTGCGCACCTCCGCGGCGCCGGAGCTGCCGCCAAACCTCGGGGGACGGTGAGGGTGACCGGGGGGGCGGGGGGTTTTGAGATCGTGGAACGGGTCTTAAAGGAGATGAGGGAAGGAGGTTTTCTTTGGGGGGAGGTGGCCTTGATGAGAGGTGAGGTGAAGTGGCAAAGATGAGGGGAAGCGTTCCGACTGAATCACCTAACAACAGGTGCACCCATCCATTCCATCCATGTCCGAAAGCAATCTGCCTATGTTCAGTCTTTAAGAAGATGAACGTGGAACAAGATGTTTCACTACAAGAACCCTTCAACTTCCGACATCCTCTGTGTCTGAGGTCCTGGATGCAACTCGACAGGGGTGTGTTCCCTTCAACGGCTGATCATTGGAAAATGATTTGACTGTTGGCGTTCAGAAGGATGAACTTCTGCAAATGCACCGCAAAGAGAAGAAAGGGAGATCATCGGGGAAGGAACTGATGGTGGGTCAATGCTGTATGGACACTTTCTTGGTTGGTGTTGGTGTTGCGCAACCCATCAAGCACATGTTTTCCTTTGGGATCCTGTCTGATGCTGACGCATGCTGATGCATCCCCCGTTTCAACGCGCGGCTCTTCTAAGTCCCGAAACGGCCACCAGGAGCGGCCCTCAGCCTTACAGGTCTGCGAAAGTTTTCGGGACTAACCAGGGACGTCTCCTTTCCAACCGAGATGTGTCTATTTTTTTCCGGAGCAAACATAATGTTGTTGTGGAAGATTTTTAAAGCAAACACCAAGGAAGTTTTGGAGGTTGCAAATTATGAGCAGACTGTGCACTGGCATGTTCCTTTACTTCCAGTCGATTTGGGATCTGCGTTGCCATTACATTTGATCCAGTTGACTGGTCAAGTGGGTAACTCATCAAAAACACCATCCGGAACCCTGCATCACGATGTTTGCCAATCCCAAGCTCCAGGGTTCTCAAGTCATTCAGCTGCTCATCGTTCGCCCTCATGGAGTTTCCTCTTCTATGATTCAGGTCGCCACAGCCCACTGGTGATGGGAGAGACTTCAAGTACCCTGTTCCAAAGCTGGAGTAGACAAATTGTGAGGCCAAGCAGCACCCCAGCAGACTCCTGACATTCGCAAACGTGTGTGTGTGCCCACACCTGTTTCTAAGGAATCTGCATTGCATAATTCACTACTGGTGGACAAACTCCTTCACAGCAGGGGGG